TTTGGACGCTTTGATGTTGCCAGAAAATGTAGGTATTTTAAAGGGCTGGCCAGAACCAGAGAACAACTGTAGTGCAATTAATAGCATCGGGTTTGCTAGTATGTGTTTCTGGTTTTATTTTGCAATTTGTTTGTGTCAGGTGGCTTTGATCTGGACATTAAGGGCTGGGGTGGTGAAGATGTACATCTGTACCGCAAGTACCTTCACAGCAACCTCATCGTGATCCGCACGCCTGTCAGGGGCCTCTTCCACCTGTGGCACGAAAAGCAATGTCTGGACGAGCTGACCCCAGAGCAGTACAAAATGTGCATGCAGTCCAAGGCCATGAACGAGGCCTCTCATGGCCAGCTTGGGATGCTTGTTTTCAAGCAAGAGATTGAGACACACCTTCACAGGCAGAAACTGCACAGTAAGAAGACATGAAGGCAGAAAGGGAGGGAAAAAGCCTCTGAATTGGACTACAGGGTGTTTTGGAAAAGAGTCCTTGACAAGAAAAGACAGGATGAGACTGAAAGGATGGAGATTCCAGCAGGATGGCATCAAAAGAAGATGAGGGAAACTGCTTGTTCTCCCTTCTTCTGGCAGTTGTTTCTTGTTTGTTTTTTCTTAATGGGGCTTTTAAGTACTCCATTGGCCTGACTGTTCAGAACTTGCCTCTGGAGGAGACTTGAACACTGATGAGATTCGAGGTTACAGAGACAATGAGCATTACATAAATGCCAGTGTGGTTTTCACAATAACAAATGGATGTGCTCCTCCATCTAGATGTTTGTAAGATGTGTGCAGTTATTTAAAGGATTGAGCCTTTGGTGGGCCAATAACGACGAGTTATTTTCTACATCTAACCTGAGCTATCTAAAAAGGGCTAGTTTTGAATAAGTACAGAGCTCCTGCTCTGAGAAGGACATCGGATTGTTAACAGTGGTTAAGCTGGAGTGACCAAAAATCTTTTTCCCTTCAGGGGCTTGGGCAGGGGGACAGCAGCAGTGCACTAACAGGGTATCCCCCGTTCATTCAGAGACAGGAGGCATCTCAGAAAGGGCTTTCTAAAATTCAGAAAGAGAAAGCCCCACGCATCAAGTGTGATGTTTCAAAAAGGCTGGAGTGTAGTGTTTGTTCTCTTATGGGGACAATGAACCAAAAGCAATGAGCCATATCTGTATCACATGAATCAGATGGTGTATTTCTGCTTTAGAATTCTCTAAGTATCTCAAGATTTATTTTTAAATGAAGTTGCTATCGCTTGGGAATTATTTTGTCATACTTTGGCTTTTCTACTTCTAGCCTTATGAGGAAATAGTACAGCCTTCCAACACCTGGAAAATGCTCTGCAGATCTGTGGATGGGAACTGGGTCCAGATAAGTGAAGTGATTTTTCTACAGCACCCGAGTGCTGGAAGGCAGAAGCTTTACCATGCTAAGGAAAAGGAACTATACATCAACTTGCAGTACTGATTTAGCAAGAGGCTTTAAACTCTGAATGTCAGATACCAAAGCTGATGAACGTTTTCTGACTTTATACCAAAGTATTCCTTCTAAACCAAATATAGAATCTTGCCCAAGGCACAGCAAGCTTTTCAAAATTAACAAAATAAATTTTTGTGATGGATTACTGAACCCTGCAAATTCTCTTATGATAATTATAGATGCATCCTAAAACTCAGTCTCCTTCTGAACAGATTTTTTTTTTCCACTTGCCTAAAACTGTTGAAAGCATGAGTTACTGCTCTTATAAAGTGTTTTCTTTTAATGCTGTCTGCTGTTTATCACTTTTATGTATACCAGCCAACAAAAACTGTTTGGGCTTGGAAATCCCATTTGCTTACCTCAGTGCTGTTTCTCCAAGCGGTCTCTTTGTTTTATAGCTTCAGATTAATTCAAGGCAGCCTGAAAACAGATTCTAATTTGGTTTTTGGCTTGTAAAAGCTGAGGGAAGAAATATGCAAGATAGCACTGAACAATGAATAAAACACTATTTGTCATGCCACTGTGCAGTAGGAAGAGTAGAAATGAACCTATTTTGAAAGCACTGCATGCAAAATCTGCAGACAGGGACCATGCTACTGTAAGTAATTTTTCCCTAGACATGTGTTTACATGTGTTTATCTTCTGTTGGATGCAAATTATCTGCATTGCACTTCCTTGCAAATCAACAAATTTCCAAAAACACTGCAAAAGTACAAAAAGGCTGGAATCTCTCTATGCTTAAAAAAAACAACTCCCAAATACATCGCTTACCATAAAAACTTCAGCAATAACTCAAGTAGGTCTTCCAAAGACCTTTTTTGTTCCCAGAACACATTATAAATTGTTTATAAAGGGCTTCGTTTTGATGGAGTAACTTTACAAATAGGGTGCAGTAGGAGAAGACAGGCATGGCTTGTTGAATGCATATGAGAGCTGTGCTAACTGGGCTGCTCCATGGTCACAGTTGTTCCTACAGTCCCACTTAACCTGAATATGAAAATAGGTGATGTATATTATGAAAGTTTCATAATCATAATCTGCCTTAAGCCTACCCTTAATTACGTCAATGATGGTTTTTTTGTTATCTTCCCTTAGGTTTCCCTAAGCCCTCAACAACTTCATATAATTCTGAGGTTGGCCACACTTGTAGAGCATGGCTAGAACAGGTGGTCCCTTCAGAGGTATATTAATCTCCAATTGCAAGCACTGTGCACGTGTAAATTCAGCACTCTGTTACCTTGGAACCTTGCCTTAGGAAGCACACCACCCAGCTCCTCTCACAGTATCAGAAGTTATGTTTTCAGACAGCACCTTTGTGATTCTCTTGCACATGTCCATTTCTTCAGAGATGGTGCCCCTCCTGATCAAAATAATACTGTCTATGAACTTCCTGTTTCTTGGCTGCAGAAGCCAGACTGGCAAGAGATGAGATGGAGTTAATGATGCAAAGAGCCAGCTTGTGGTCATTGGCTGCCTCTGATGTACAGGAGAATCCAATGACAGCAGAAATCTGTCAGGGCTCTCTTGAAGGTGGAGACTGCACTGATATGAGAGGTGAAGGACAAGCTCAGAAAGGGAAGCTGCTGTTAGTTATGTTTCTGTGAGCCAAGTGGAGCTGTAACACACCTTCCAGGCCAGGTGGAAAAAGATGAAATCCAAAGGAAGTAGCCAACAGAACCGTAGCTTTTGCCATGCAGCCCTCTACCTTCCTGGTCCCAGAAACAGCTCGTGATCTTTCTCAGAATGGCAACTGACTGGATGTTATTTGGGGAGGGAATAGAGATCATACTGTGTAGACAAGGAGGCCACATGGGGACTCCTTGCTTAAATTTTTGATGACTGCTGCGTGATCTGGCTAAAGGCACAGAGGCATGGGACAAAACTAACTGCCATATCCTTCCAGGTATCACAATGTCACCAACTATCAATTTTCCAGTGTGACTACTCTTATGATCCTTGCACAGCATCCCTTGAAGAAAGATTCCACAGAGAATGTCCCCATCAGTACCCTTGATTCCTGACCACTGCAAGTCATCATGGCTCCATAGATTTTCAGGGTAATTAGATTTCAGAGCAACAGAAGAGCCAGTGTAGAGGGCATCTGTTCTGGCAAGGGTGCTGCCCTTGCAGCCAGCACAGTAATCTAAATGTGTAAGTATAAAACTTCAGGCTTATTCCCTCCCAGCAGACAAATGAAGCCATGAGTCTTTAAAAAACTGAAGCACGCTTCTCAAACGTGGGGTAGATGTGAAGGCTGCTGGTGGCTTTCCCTGGGCTCTGCTGAGCCTACACCTGCAAATTAGGAGTTAGGTTATAACGGTCTGTGAAGCTACTGGTGCACTGGTCAGCAGGTCAAATCCTGAGGAGTTCCACTGTACATCTCAGAGCTAAAACTGAATGTGTCCTGCTGTCCTGCAACTCCTGTGTCCATGCCAGATCAGCCTGCACCTTATTTCTGCAAGTTAACACCCTGCTTTTCCAACTGCTCTTTTAAAGGAGACTTTGTCCCTCATTTTCACCAGCGAATAGGTACACAAAACACTGTGCGTAGTCTCCAGCACAACAGCAGCTCTGGCATGTTCTTCACCTGAGAACAGATGCTAACTTTTCTCTAGGAGCTCTGAACGACCTTTCATTTTGGCCATAGTTTTCAGAAGAAACAGTTCATGAAGAGGAAAGGAGGGATTTTTTTACCACCTACAAATAACGTGGCACCTCCCGTCACAATTGACCCAATTCCCATTGGCAATATCCCTTTGATACATGTGATACAGTGCCCAAGAAGCTCCTTAAGTCATCTGCCCTGCCAGGGTGTCGTTCCTTTCGGAATCTCACTTTACAATCTCCAGTAAGTTAAGCCTGCAGTAACTGGAGTGCAGGTATCCCCTTTCCTTGTATGGAAACCACCAATCCCTATGGTTGTAAATTTTATGACCAGATGATTTCAACTAATTCCTTTAATTTGTATTCTGTAAAACGCAGATCAGTGTAAGATGATGGTTTTTACTTCTTCCTCAATTTAATCGGAGTAGCCCTGATCAAACAGAAAGAAGGCAACAGGTAACAAACTGAAATAAGATTGACTCCTGCTCACTATTTGAGGATTATATCTCTAAAAAAAAAATTATGTTAGCAGATTCACTCCACAAGTACTGTCCTCAGCTGTACAATTTGTCATGTGCAACGACAGGAGAGAATCTGGGTGAGGATTAATTTGCTATGATGTCCAGCCTCTCCCCCAATATTCTGAATTGTGTATTTAAAGAGCAGTGTCACAGACATGAAGAGAGAACATTGCATTGAAAGAACAAGTTCTATGTTAAATTTTATACCAGATACATCTCAGTAATCTGGACACAACTTGAAATAAATAGCTCCATTTTGGAAAAAAGCATTCTTTACTGGCAAACACTCTGCTGTAAATTGTACTAATACTGATATAGGCACTGCTTCTTACATTTTTTAGGATCTGTGCACGTGGTAGTCTTTCACACAGACTCCTGTATCCCTTCTTTCCTCTCAAAAGGTTAGTCCTTCTCTATGCAGAAAGGCCAGTGTGGAATTTAAATACAGGTTAGAAGAGTGAGGATCTGTATTCAGAGGCTAAAGGAGTTTTAAAAATACACTTTTGATGAAAATCCATCTTCACAGAGAACACCTTTCACTGAGAAGCACTGAGGTTCTGCTTGGATGTTGGGCTTGAACATCCTTGATTCCAAGCACATGGCATTTTACAGGATTAAGCTTCACATTATGCAAATTACTATATCAAGACAGATTGACCTCTCCAAGTTGTTTTGTGCCTTCAGAAAGGTATGATCTCATTCAACTGTAGCTGCTAATCTGTTTCCCAGATGGCACACAACCTTGCATTCAAGAGCAAAAGGCAGTTTGAATACAGAAGCCACCCAGGTAATCTGAAAAAAAAAAACCAAACACTGAAAATATAGGTGGCA